CAACGATGGTAAATGCCATGCGCGAAATCAGAAACGTACAATTTGACTTGTTTCGAGATTCTTGCAACGCGCCTTGAGGACTTGATTATTATTGACGCAAAACGGTCGTTTTCCTTTGTCCTAAACCAATTGTTGTAAACAAACCTGAATGTCTACCTTTCGCCTGTAGGTGTTTCTGCTAACGATACCTGTCCAACAGTGAGCAATGCTAACCAAACTGATTCTGATAGTGACGGTGTAGGGGATGTTTGTGACAACTGCCCTGCGGATTCTAACAACGATCAGGTAAGCGGCTAGTATGATATGACTAAATAACTGATCGAGACGAACACAAGACAAATGTTACCATGACAAATTGCTAAATGTCGCAACTGTGGGATTTCAAATTTATAATATCATTGCGATTCTTTTATCGTTTAATAAACCTTAAAATACCTTTATGCAGCTCATGAGAAAACAGACATTTTTGTGTTCTGTTTATGTCCGTTTGTTTGTTTGTCTGTTTGTTTCTTTGTTTGTTTCTTTGTTTGTCTGTTCGTTTGTTTTTTGTTTTGTTTTTTTCGCATGCCAAATTTTGCCTTTTACATGTTTTTCCCGCGATCTAGGAACCTGGAACAAGCTAACTTCAATTCTCACATTTCTTTCTATTTACTCACTGGTGAAGTGAATTTTGAAAACTGTTTCATCTTTCCTACAGAGCGATACCTATCAAAGTGGATATGGCGATGTTTGTTCCGGGGCAGGGAAAGACAAGTGAGTTCTGTAGTTTATCATCTTAACTTCGATAGAGCGAGCCGTGTACTATTTTGGTTCGCTAGCTGCATCTACAGATACGAAGAGTTTTGTTGTTCAAAACGTAACGGACATTAGCTGGTTCGTAAATGCGTTACACGTTTTGTGTTTATCGGAAGGTTTGTGGTCTTATATTGTTCATAGGGATGGTGATGGTGTACCGGATGGCTTTGACAACTGTGTTGATCTCCCAAATGGCGAACAAGCAGATGTTGATAACGATACAATAGGTATGAAAATTTTAACAGTTAAAGACATACTTTTTTGTCACGAGAGCAAGGTTGCTATTCTTTTTCAGAAAGCAAACCGCGTGAATGGCTAACTTTGCGCCCGTCAAAGTTTAATGTACAAATTGTGAGCACTAAAACCCTTTCTGTAAATATTCTTATGTATACCCGTTTATTACAGGAATGAATCTTACACTTGTATGCCTTTGAACT